ATTTGGAGGGAGGTGGACCTATGATGTCAAGAGCTAGTATAAATTATTTTCAGTCCCACTATTCAAACTGGGAAAATATGGTACATATTGTCAGGTATGTGCAAAAAAAGTGACATTGTATTAAAGTAATGATTCAATAATACGCATTCAAATGGACTATGGAGGAAAAGTCATTTAGCACACTTTTTGATTGCATTTTGACTATCAAATATCATTATTGTTTGATTGGCTTTTACAAGCTTGTACTAGTTGCCCAGGTGTGGCAGTCCTCAAAATATTCCCAAAAACATGCATTTCTTGAAAGGCAAGAAAAAAGTGTTTTTTTTACTTTAACTAAACTACCCAATGAAGGTCTTAAGACCAACATAACAGTTAAGCTCCCCTTCTTTGCTCAACACACATACACACACACACACCCACACACCCGTTGGCACTTGCTGGCAAGAAACGACACCGCCAAAGGTTTTAATTTAGTGGTGAGGATGGTGAGGTCGCTGAGACAGCGACTAAGTACAGTCTAAGTACAGCAATGATGTGCAAAACAAAAACAATGAGCTAGTAGGGCCTAAAGTTGCAGCACAGTTGGATTTTGCTATTTAGCAGGTTTGGTAGCACATACAAAGCTTATCCGGAATAATTTGATTGAAGTTACCAAGAATCAATAGCATAAACCTGCCATTAAACTAAATAGTAGGGTGAGTGAGTGCTTGATTGAAGGATTTACTGACAAAATAAATGGTTTGAGAATACGGACAGAGTAGGAAGGGAGGCGGATTTTATGACTGGAGTCGTTAATGTAAACCCTGAGTGGCTGGTCTGGCTAGGAAGCCTTGCAGGGAACTGTTGGAGTTGATGAGGTAGTCCAGCTGAATGATATACATCGCCGGCCACAGGCGAGAGCTGTCCATTAGTTACAAGGGTTCCTGTAATGCACAGCTCTAGTACATTATTTCCAAATGCATCAGTCAGCGTTGTGCAGCACAGATAAATTCCAATTCCTTAGATCTGAAATGCATACTCTCCCCTCTGCTATATTACGCTACAGGTTAGGAGGGTAGGAAGAGAGAGGGGGGGGGGGGGGGGTGTAATTTATTTTTCACCGCAGCCAGTATTCTTCCCATTAGCTTCAAACGTGAGATAAGTTATGGACTTTAACGAGCGCCTTTAGCCACCAGAGCACGCTGCACACAAGACTGCAGGCAGAAGATATGGGCTAAAGGAGGTGGGACCGGGAATGCGGGAATGTATCAGGTCATTAACCCAATACATCGACCTCACTGTCCCCGCCGATGATCCGAAAGCAGCCTTCACCACCGTTTTACATGGGTGGACCACATGTGCATAAACACAACAGAAAGTGGCTTAGTTATGGTCACTACAAAACTACTAACTATCACTACTCTCAAAGGAAAACCATTCCAAACAGTACCAATCTGCCACTAAAGCAGCAAACGAATCCACCTGGAAAATGTTAAGCGGCAAAGAGGAAGGCTCGAAGTTGGTAGCTACCTAAGTGAAGCAACCTTTCCCCTGTAGCACTCAGATTGCTTTAGTAATGTAGAGGAAGCGTTGGCTCATCCCTACCACTTGCACATCTCTGCCTTTGCCAGTCAAAGGTAACGCCTGGAAAAGGCAAAGCTGCCGTGACCTTTTAGAGTGCTTTCAATTCATTTATGTTTCTGAGCCCTCAGACAGAGGAGGTGGAGTTGGAAGAGCACATAATGCCTGCATGCACATATACACACACAGAATTGACAAATTATGCTATAAAGGTCATATTTTAGTGGTCAGGATTAAACCTGTAAGGCTGTTTCCCACAACCTGTAACACACTCAATTTCTTATTGGTTATCTAACGCAAAAGGCTCTACAACATATTAAGTCTGCATGAAAATGTCTGGTTACTAAGTTTTTGTAATTGCACACATTTCTTTCCAAATTAATAACAGTGTTTTTTAAAATCCTTTTACGGAGAATATATTATTACTAAGCCAATTTGTCAAAACGTGTTCCCAATTCATTGTTCAGTTCTAAATCATATTTACAATGATGATGATGATGATGATGATGATGAAGAAAAACAAGCCTTAGAACACAATTAAGGAACCGTCATATTTAGCTGACAACATTTGTCCTCAAAATCCAGATATTACCTGGAGGGATGTACCAGAAATATACCAAACATTTCCAGTTTACATGGTCAAATGCCTTCTATCTCGTCCTGATTTTTTTTCTTCTTTTAACAACCTTGAGTTGTAGCTGCATATCCTCTGGATAACATCCTAGCATAGCTATCGACAATTAATTTAAGCCCTGCAAGATTTTCCTTCAGCTACATTGGGAAGATTATAAAAACTATCATCAGTTGCCACTCATCGAATCAAGCAGTAGTGAATCAGTTTAATTCATATTTTTTGTCCAAATCGCTGATAGAACTTTACACATTTTTTCTCCAACTGCATTATGAACTTGGATGACGTTGTTGAAAAAACTGCAATAATGTTTCACCGTAGACATTTATTACTTCGACAACTTGCTCTTTCACACAGAGAGAGCACATTGTGTTTTGGGTCAAATTATAGTAAGATGTTTGTGCGTCAATGTCCAGTTAATCTCGCGGTTCCTAAGATGATCGCCTACATTCAAGGTTTATGATTATGATTACCAGCACTTTGCTTTTGTCCGGGCTCCACCCCCGTTGGTCTATGTTCATCTCCCAACTACATATCCCCGCTCCGAAGAACAAACCCTTTGAGTAGCCTTGACGCATGACTTGTTTGTGTGTCAGTTCTTTCTCCTACTTGCAAGTATTATACAATAAATGTCCTGTTTAATGATTTTACACTGGTGTCAAGTAAGAACACGTATCTGGAATGACTACGAAACAACGAGAGGCAGAGGGAATGTTGGCAGAATATATGAAGAAAGATGGTTTTGAATTTACTACTATTCAAAGTCAACCCAAACCAGCCGCAGGCAAAATACGAAAAGACAGAAGTTGTATTCACGGGTGCTGTGTTGTCTCATCCCACATCACATCATCTGCCAGCTCTGTTTATCCAGGAAAAACTGCTGGGCCTTTAACGCAGATGAATTATGAAAGACTACACAACTCTTAATTACTCCATCCACCCAGTCTGAATAATGCAGGATCCTACTTTCCACCATGTTATTGCGATTTGCATGCAATAGTTAACATAACTGCTTAACACAGCCCTAGGCTCCTGAGGACTGGGTGTATTTCATGATTAAACTCATTAGTAATGTGGCTGCACGTGTGAGTACAAATTTGTGTATGCTTCCAGTGACAATGGCAGGTGGTGCATGCTAAATGCAGCCATTCAGGAAAGAGACATGTGCCAGTGGACATGTTTACCCTCTGGCAATTGTCTCTGGTTCATCAGGCGCGAGAGGGCAGGGGGCTTCAGAAGCATCACCTAGTAAGAGTGGACCGGAGTGCAGTGAGGCAGAAGACCCAAGGACACAAGTACACAGACACATGCACATACCTGCACAACAAAGACTGCCAAGAAGAACGTGAAAATAGGACAGGCCAGGACAGTGAATGCATCTGCCGTGCATTGATAGACATGAGACAATGAAAGTGAGACAGAGCTTTGAATTCAAGTTAACATAGCAACGTCTGGCTAAGCTGCTGATTCCTGAGTAGACGGTTGAATATGTAGAACATTTGTTAACCAGCATGTTAAGAAGCAGAGATTCCAACCTGAAGTTGGTTTCACCAAACTGTCAATCTCGTCATTATTTTTGACAGCTGCACCAGGTTGAACATTTATATTCACAGCCATCATGTCAACAAACAGATGACTACATACACGCCCTGATAATTGAGCTCCCACGTGGTCTTAAAATCCTACCAATCACAAAATGGTGAGTGTATTCAAAATTGAAATGGAGTTTTTCTATCATTACATAGTAAGCACGGGTGTGTTTTTTTAATAGTACCTGCTTTTACATAGGCTGGCTCCATCATTCATGGTTGGGTTGTATTTATGGACAGACCCATTTGCGTCTCTGTGATTTCAGATGCTATTATCGAGAAGGCTAAAACCTTCATGCTAGTGGAACAAGATTGCCACTTTTATGGGAACGTCTTGTGCTGAAATAAATCCTCACCTGATAATGTGTGCTGATGGGTCAAGGGGTGCAATGAACGTGAAGGGAGCTTTCAGTGAGAGTAGCAATTTAGCCTTGCCTCCCATGTATGCCTTCCCTTTAAAACACAATCACATGTACCATCGTATTTTATTATGTATGTTGTTATTATGCTCCACGCTTCACCTAGCTGATTAATATCCAAGCTTATTCTGATGCCTGATCAAGACAAACACCATTACACTGGCGACTTTCATTAAATGTCATGATGATTTGTGTATAATTTTAAAGAGCTCCAGTGTATTCATTTAAGATATATTCTACTTTATAAGTGTTTCACCCTCTATTGGGCCTCTCCATTGGTTTACCTCATCGACAGTGCTTTGTGACCCGGAGACAGATCTTTACACTCGCTTCCCAATCAGGGGGTGAACACAGAGTTTACGACATGTTTACTGTTCGCATCAAGAGTGTAAAACAGAAAAGGGCAAGCCATCTTCTTTTTTCATACTATCATCCTCACAACTAAAGGGGAGCATAGCTATTATATAGCTATTAGTATTTCATCTTTCTGTAAAGGTTTTTGGTGTAATTCTGCTCTTGAGAACTTCAAACTGTTAAATACAACAGTGTAATGTAATTCAATTCTACAGATTAAATTGTGAACTGAACTCAACAATAAGATAAAAATGTAAAATTGAATAGAAGAAAACGATGATGATGATTGAACATTATACAATTTGGGATGATTCTAGCTTTGCTATGGGCCCTAGTCAACGGGTAAAACAAAGTATAAAAGTAGTGATATTTCATACCCTCGATACAAGTATTATTTATAATGCCAAACCTCTTCACAGGTCATCAAATTAAATAAAGATCACTAAATTCAAGAAGATAATACGGTTTTATTTTTTTATTTTGACAACTTTCCATAGTGGTGGAAAGAGAATACGTCAGGGCCTCTTTGCGGTTCGTCAGAGGTGGTATTTATAATAGAATAATAATAATAATAAAAATAACATTATTATTTTTGTAACTATTGTTATTTCATAGAGAACATCAAAAAGATACAAATCACTGATGTATCCAAAGGTTGGCTAAAGTGATTGTGAGGTTTTAAGCAAAGGAAGAAAAAAAGATGTAACTTTAGTTGACATATGAAAATGTATAACAGGAGAAAATACTTGAGCAATTATCGCAATCTCAATGTGAGATTTCCAATGCATTCAAACAATAAAGTCAAGGCAAAATATAAGCCACAATTAAATTCATTAGATATAATGAAAGGTGTCTGCTGTTTAATAAGCTGCCGGTTGAGAACTAATTCCAGAAAATAATTACACTATTTAATTAGTGTATACTATTAATACAGAAAAAGCTGGACAATCTCATCGCCATTATACACCATTATACAAAAAATGTTAATAAAAACTGAAAACCTTGACCAAAAATAGAAATAATTGTATAGGAATAATTGTCTTGACGCTACAATCAGGAAAGTTCTGAGTTGGAGTTAGCAACACAAACCACATCGAAGTGCAATAGAAAAATGAACAGCAGTTAATATTGTAATTAAAGAACACCGAATGAGAGTCGCTATTTCCATCGCATTGTCTTCTTTCCTTGTTCCAATCCAAAGTTCTCCTACAGCAACAGAGAAGGTGACAAACATCACTTATTCAAGCATGTGCGTTGTTTGCACGAGTTGAAGAAATAAGGAGAGACACACGCTGACTTATCCCCTTTGTCTCATTTTGCTTCTCATAAGAACATACATGCCCGTACTCACATGTAACAATCATACACTATGTGCTGTAAAGTCCTCGTCCAACAAGGAAGGACCAGATGCCCTCGAGTCCGAGGGGGAGGCGGGAACACTCGATGTGTGCGTGTGAACCGAAACGGTCTGGCACAGACACCTTTCTACCATCTGAAGCTCTGCAGTGTCCAAGCGTGAGGAAACGTAGAAATAGTGCATGCAGACATCCACCACAGAGCCAGGTGATGGGAAAGACTGAATGACAGTTCTGTGAGAATAGGCCTCAAGGAGAAAACAGTCATGTCCTGCAGTGGTCGAAGCCTTAGCAAAAAACAGTCCCATTTGGCTTTTTTTTCCTTCTCCGCAACAATGTAGTCGTCCCTTTAGTCATTAGCCACACACCAACTATGCAAAGCAGGCTAATCATCGCGACTCGTTGTAATTGCAGCAAAACAAATCCTGCTGCAGAACGAGAGCCCAAACATCTGGTGTGCGACTCACATCACACAGCAGGACGTGTCTGCTCCTGGTCTTCCTGCATACAGTCTGAATGATCTGTGCCGGGCTTGGCCAGGCAGAGTGGTGGCATCACGGGGTACTGGAGAGTTACGGTATTCAGCCTCTCTCTCCTTCTGTGATTCTCTCTCTTCTCCATCCGACTCAGCACTGAATAGCAGCCTTCATCCAAATGACTCATGAGGAAATCCTCCACAACAGGAAAAAGCAGCAGGCTCCCACGATATGAAAAAATAAATGAACCCAAAACGGGCATCAAAGAAAGGAACAAACGCTCAAGCAACCGCACAAAAAAACAGTGAGAAAATGCTGACACTCCGCCCAGTCGAAATGTTCTGCCTTTCTGTTTTGGCTCTCATTTTATTTAGTTTCACAGTTGTTTTAGAGAATTAGCATCTGCTACAGAGCCTTTGTAGAGGGATTTATGTGCCCCCCTACACATTATTCCCATACCACCCGTCCCCGCCCCTTGCCTGCCTCCTTATCCCCCATCAGTCTGCACAGACAAGTTTTTCCCACCCGGTCACGTAACCCAAACAGCAACCCCTTTTTGTGGGTGTGCTTGTTTGGTGTGGGTCTGCTCCGTCAGTGTGGTGCATGCCATGCCAGCTTGGTTAGTAGGAGAGATGAGGAGGGGTAAAAAACAAAAATAACTAAAGTTATGGGAACATTGTGAGAGACGCGGGCGCTCATGAATTATATGGTTCATTTGCATATTCCTGGCATAAGACATTATGCAAATACTGGTAAATTTGCATAATGGATTCCTCTTGTCTCAATTGCCCAGTTGCAGCTTTTCATTTTATTTTAAGAAACAAACAGACAAACACAAGAGTGTGAAACGCAAAAAAATAGCATGTTCGAGCCCGTTTGAGCCCCTTTCCAACGGTTTTTGTGTGGATCAAAAAAAGATTTCCAAGGGCACAACGTCTGTGTTTGGATCCTTTTTAATTACATTGCCATGTATCTGTCAAACACAAAATGTGCATAGTACATACACAGACATAAGAAAGATAGTAAATAATCACCATCGCATAAAGTATGTGACATGGTATTCAAGAGCGTTTGAAGATTTTTCTCTTTATTAATCTATTCTAACTTTGACTATTAAAGCAAACCATTGCACAGCTAATTAACAGCAGTGTGCATACACATTAAAGATGGAGGGAGATTTTATTGAATAATTAAAAAATGTGACTCTTCTGCTTTTAACCTCATCAGCGCCGTACCGAACGACCTGAATACAAATGTACAAAAGAGCCAAAGCAGATTTGGGGAAGAAATGACGAGACGTCGAATGACAAGTGAAAAGATAACTACTACACATATTATAGAGCTTTTTTTAATCAACATAAACGAATATAGTAATCTGTTTACAACCTGTAATGCTTGTTATCCATGTCCATCAAACATGACGGCAAAGCAGATGGTCACAAATGCAGCTTGAAAAGTGATGGGGATATAATTAGAAGAGTGTGTACAGAGCGAACTATATGAAGAAAAAAGATGTGAAGGTGGTAGAAGGAGAACTTTGAATAAAATGCCCAGTCAACATTGTTAAGTGAAATCAGTTAAAATGTAAACAATTCAGCTAAAGTCAGATAAGCAGATTGAGATTCTCGTGTCCTACATTCTTGTATACTGTGGCATTTTCAGGTGGAGCTTAGCTCTACTGGTTTTGTCGCACTACAATGGTGGTTATGGGTTTGAGGCTCTATTTTTCTCCAGAACCGATGAAGGAGCGGAGCAATACGAGGCACCAACGCAAAATGGCAGGGCGCAGAACAGTTAGTCAGCCGACTTAGAAGAATGGCGAGGCCAAATCGCCAGCTTTTAAAATCAATTAACCTAAATGTTAATTAATGTCAAGCCCATAGAACAAAAAAGGGAGAACGAAGGCGCGTGTAGTGGCCATGTGGAAGGAAATGTAGGGAGAGGAGGAGGAGGGTGTGTAAGAGAGAGACTGAGAGAAAGGGGCTGGGCAAATAAGGGATACAAGGAGCGAATGCGGTTGATGGCAGAGAGAAGTTGGCACAGTGCCATCCATTCAGTGGTAGCACCAGGGCGGACTTCTGCTCGCTCTCTAGGGTAGCTGGTTAGATGCAGCCTGGGAGACAGAAGAGTCCTGTCGTGGTTAGGGTAGCATCACATGCTTTTTCTTTTATCTTTAATTATTCATTTTTTGGGGCTGCCGAATATTAGAAGTTACATATAAGATATGTCTGCCGACACAAATTCATCCTTATATCAGTACCGCTTTGGAGATCACGTAAACATCTGCTGACGAAGACTTCAAGACGGGACCTCGACCTCAATACATTTGGAGAGCCCTCCACTGAGATGGACTAGTTGCAGCATGGCGCCATGATGGAGGTACATGAGTGGATTTCCGTACTCTCTAAGACGAATGAGACAGGAAGTGAACCAACAGGCCGCCGGCGCCAAAAACAGGGAAGTTGGAAATGGAGTAGGCATCACATGGGGTTAAGGAAGGAAATGGAAAATGAAACAACAAAGCAGAAACACTGGGATGTTTTTTATTACAGTGGTAACGGGGTGGTTTGGCGGTGGCACAAAGGAAAGCTCCTCCCACTCGCTCCTTCTTCTTGCTCTCTTGTACCGTCTGAGGCACAGCTCTCTGTGCCAGGCAGCGAGCCAACGGGCAGGACACGCCATGCCAACTCACGCGTTGGCAGTAAAGGACGTACCCTTGGAGACGTGTCCACTGACGAACGCCATTTGACATTTATGGACTTGGGTAAAAGTCATTGGATTGGAGGAAGCCCAAGAAGCCAAAATTTGGAAAGTACGTGTCTCAAGCGGTGTACCAACAGAAATGTAATCTGGCAGGAAACCGGCAAAGAACGGGGGAATAAAAACTACAATCAACCGAACTCGACACAAAGGACTACCCAACACGTTTCAATGGTCGAAAAACAAAAGAGGAAGGATCAAGCAGAGAAATTACAGCACCAGATTTGACTAATTGGAGAACATTTTGCTTCGTTAATTAGGGAGAAACATGAACTAATTAATAATCATCAAAAGAATCCATAATGGGGAGAAGACAACAAAAAACCAAGATGAAGACAAAAGCGCCAAACTGTTCAACTATTAGTACAGTGTGTGAAGCAAGTGCCTTATTTTGTGCCAATTCCTTTTCCCTTTAGCCACACTTCTGCCCCAGTGTAAAATGCCATTTCTGACAGCCACATGGAGCATCTATCGTGGGCACTGCTACAACAGACGCTGCCAATCTGCCAATCTGTGAGTCTGCATACAGACAGAGGAGGAGGGAAGAATGGACCCGAGGGACTGTGCCTGAAGCTCAATAGCAGCTGTTTACAATATTAGAGACAAAGAAAATGCAAGCATGAGGATGAATACTAATGAACTCTCAAAACAAATTATAATCAGAGGATAGACAGAATCAACACACACACACACACGTATACATATATATTTGTGCTGACCAGAAGTTCTCACACAGCCGGTTTTCCTCGAGATGATTTTTTTCTGTGTTCACACAGCGCAAAATCTTTAAAAGACCAGGAAATTATACATCTGCAGCAAGCCACGCAACAACAGATAGAAATGCAGGCAATTCAGTGCTTCTTCTAAATTCACAGCAACCATCATGGACTTGAAATCCTATACATTCAATATTGTATCGAGCAGCATGGGAGCCGCAAGGTGGCACAGACAGAACAGGAACCCAAGGAAATGGGTACGGCAGGAACAAGGAGGCAACCTGAGTTGAAGAGAAATTGAGGGGGAGGTGCTGGCCTGCCTGTAACCAAACTGAGGGTATTGAGGCCGTGGGAACTCATTACATCTTCCACACCCACACCGCACAGATCTTCGACTTTTTTTGCCCCCTTCTTGCCAACCGTCCAAAAGAAATGAACAAACTCCACCCTTTTCAGGATTTTCCCTCTTGCGGTAAACTATCATAAACACTCACGCAGACAAACGCAGACCTACCAACTGGTTGGAGTTGCGGTTCCGGGAGTCTCTGGGTCCGGAGAAACGATTCTGTTGTTCCCGAGAGGTCTGCTGGCGTTGGGCACAGAGCCAAGGATGGGCATCGCTGCAAAGACGCACAACGGAGGCTTCATTAAGTTCGTTGTTAATTAAAACGTACAATCGGAATTAAAACAGTAATTAGCCACGCGGGGATGTTCATCCAACAGTAACTATTTTACTTTTCTTTTTTTCTCCTGGATTTCTTTGGACAAGAGGCATGGTTTTACAATATGAATAATCAAGGAAGTCTTCCAAAGAGGAGGGATTATAACATCTTTGTGCTCGCTGCCCAGCCATGGCACTACCAAGATGTCTGAATCCACCACTGAGGATGGACCGATTGAAAGATGGCATCTTTTCGGGCATCTCAAATGCAAAAATCGCGATCGCAACAAAGACGAATTACGATGAATCTAAATTTATAATTGATGTTGCATTTTTTCCATAACGATCAAGTGGAGACACGTGGATATGCTAATCGTTTGGAGCTAATGAACTTTGGATAATCACCCTTTTATTTAATTCCATGGGGGATGTTAATTGTGCAGCATCTTCATTACACAAATGGATTACAAAAAAAAGGGCTTGAACGAGAGAGCAGAATTGAATGGGGGGTGGAGTGTGTGTATATGTGTGTGTCAGAGAGAGAGCGAGAGAGAGAGAGAGAGAGAGAGAGAGGGAAAGCAGGATTGGGGATATTTTTCTTCCTTCGTTATATGCCAGTAGTCAAATAATGCCACAGTACTCACAAACAAGCAGAGAAAAGCTCCTGCATTGGTGTCTTTGCTCCCTGCCTGCTCTCCAGAGCACCATCTCTCGCATATGGAGACATCTGCCTTTCCTGGTTCTGGATCTTACAAAACTGGAGCGAGAAGACCATCTTGGAATCTACTTTCACTTGGATATTATTTGTCTTATTGAAATGATTAGCGCATTAGCAGCATTGATCTTTATTAGAACGGTGTTGTTGGCGCCCGGCCGAAGCGGAATGCAGAGGAGACAGCAGACACTGTGGTGGGCACTGGCTAATGTCCTCTGTGCTTAATCATCCTACAGCAGAATGGTTTTATGCATATTTCATTTGCATATCATTAAATCGCTAAGGCATATGGGCAAATGGCAGCAGAGAGCCAGGGACTGGAAATAGAAAAGCATGAAATATAAGAGAAAAAAAGCGACTCATTATGCGATGACATATCTTCAAAGCTGTGCGCCTGGTTTCTGGCAACCTGCCAATTCGTTTAATTCAACATTAATTAAAAATGTCTGTGCGCTCAATCTTTCCGACACGGACTAATTGAGCACCTTACAATCTGCGCAAGGAGCTCTCTCACATACAGTGGATGTCTGTTCACGTAGAACTAATGGATGTTTGTGGATTTGTTAATGAAACAGAAAAATTGATTATTTTTGCGATTCCGGACTCAACTAAATATTTGCCAGCTACAAAACGAAAAGAAAAAAAAACGTGTTTGAATGAACAATTTACTGTTAATTTCGTGAGAGCTCATGTAAGGGTTTTATAGGTTATATAAATCACGGCAGAACATTGCAGTTGACTGTGACTAGCAGCAGATAAGTGACTGAGGAGTCATATACATTCTTACTTGCAATAACTGCCATTGTGTCTTTCCCAGTATCTCGCTACACAAGACAACAACCACCACTTCCAGACTATTCCTCAAATAAACTTTCCCCAAAATAAACCTACGCCGGATCTTTACTTTTGAACCAGGCCTATTATATTGGATATGTTTAATTATTATTACATTAATCCTCCCATACAGAAACACATGCAGCACATAATGTAATGAGCCGTCATTTTGCACTTATTAGGAAGTTGTAAAAAACAATAATATCCCATAGAATACAGGATCACGTAGTTAGTGAGGAGAAGCACTGAGACCCAATTTGGCACTTTGAGTCTTTTCTTAAATTAATTTTCTTTGAAGATTAAAAAAAAATAAAAGACTACAGAAGTCGTCTTTAAGAAATCTTCTAACAAGGATCCCTACCTAAACTAACTTTCAACAAAGAAGTTAAAACAATAATGGTACAAAATGTATAATTTAATTAATAATTTAATGAAATCAGATTGCTGAGAGCTACAACATGAACAACGACGATTTAAATTTGACTCCACAGAAATCCATGTATCTAATTGTGAATCCTCTCCGCCTTAATAATTCTATGCAACGCAAAATCCCCCCCAAGCCAGAATATTTAAATGAAGTGAGCTTCACGCCTCACCCAATTAGTCATGTTTAGTAATTTGAGAAGTGATTGCCGCAGGTGCAAGGAGGAGGGGCAGTGCAGACAGGACGCAGGTTGGCAGGGGAAGCCCAGTGAGGCGGGTATGAGCCCGGCGCTCTGTAACCATGGCACATGCAGATGTCGCTGTAGTTCTTCCAAAAGCCTCCACCAACTGAGTGGGAGGGAGGTAACGAGGAACTCGTTTGGCATCACACACCTCCACCATGCGTTTCTAAGCAGGAGTGTTCGTTTGTGGGAAAGATGACGGCAGCATGGGCCAGAGGAACTGACGTAGATGAGACCAGGGTTAGGAGACATCCCTCCCTGTAGGAGGGAATTGTGGATGCAAATAGCCATCGTGAAACATTGCAACGGTTCAGCAGCACCAGTAAGGTGTCTGTGTATTTTTAGGTTTGTCATAAGATGAAGATAATATGCAGGTGTGCTATATGCTGGAAATAATTCCAGGCTGCTTTGTTCTTGTCTAAAAATGTTACCTTTCTATCAACAAGCAGTCGCTAAGCCTCCCATCAAAATGTTTATTTATTGATCATATCGACGGGAGGTCAATTTCAAAAGGATACAGGATCTCAAGTTATCCGACTAAAGTTGACATGGAGACAAACAGACACCAGTAAATATATTTGCTGAAGGTTCAATATCTTATCAGTAACATTCAATGGTTACTTTTACCCAAAGCATCATGAATGCATGATGAAAAGGCAGACATTATTTACATGCATTCCCCTTATGTGTGTGGACGGCCTCAGCCAAGTGAATCGTACACATGCTCGATCATATACTTATACTTACTTACTTATATACACAATTCACTGGGCATGAGGACTATATAGTGAGCATATCGCCCGAGCTGTAAAGCTCCACTATCTCTTTAACCACAGTCTTGTCTAAACATTAATTGGTTCCTGATAATTCTCAGATTAGAATTAATATGCTGTCACTGAGGCAATCGAGGTGACCCACTGTATCTAGCTGGCTCTTCATAAACTGGTGTGAAGGTCAACTGTCAATCAAACTGCACAATATGACAATCAATCTTTAAAGTCAGAATGAGGATGCCATTAACACTAGCAGTAATGGCTGATGAAAGAACTGCCATAACGGCAAGCCTCGGGGGTCACTGCTTATAGATTGGCTGAGAGCAGAGGGAGGAAGAGGAAACGGTGGACGCTTTCCCATAGAGTGCAATTTCTAAAACGTTTTCTTTGACGCCAAAACTTTGAGTATAGCTCACTTTAGAATTAGCACACTGTAGTTATGACTGCAGTTGTGTAATGTCTATCAATATCACAATCTAATGTTAAAGCTGTGAAAGTCCTCTTTCAGTGTAACGAGGGGTGAAAAATGACCTCGCACTTAAAGGACATGTCCAGTCGGCAGTTGACTGAAGGCACTCAAACAGCAGCTTGCGCAGCATACTGGGGGTGTCAGAGAGATAAAGACGTACCATCAGAGTGTGACTATTCTGCCTGGTCTATTGAGAAGCTGCAGCCTGTTTGCCATTACACTTGCATTTTAGGAGCAGCCTTTGGTATACTGAACACAATAAGCCATCCAATGGGGATTCAGCCACTAAATTCCCCTCCGGAATTCTGCATGCTCAGCAGTTCTGTACTGTGTGTGTTTGTTGTTATGTGAACGATTTAGTATCTGTGCAATGGAAAGAGACAAAAGATGGAGAGGCCTGCCATGGTCACTGTCCGGGTCAGAGTTTAAAAAGCGGAGAGAGACAGAGAGAATGGAAGTGAGGGAGAATACAAGAAAGACAGAGGATACGGTGTGAAAGAAATGGTGCGTTTGTTCCCGAGTCCCACAGGGCCTGAACTGGGCGGCTGGCAAGGGAGCCATTACATGCGTGTCTCTGACAGCTCACTCTCTCATTACGCCAGGAGACAGTTAGCACTAGCACTCTCAGACCACAGCTTTGTAATGCAGACGATATTATCACACACCCCACACATAAATACTTTTAGTGGATGCCTTGAAATACTGTACTGAGCCACTTCTGCACCAAAGTTGAGGTCTCTGCCTCGATAGAATCTATTCAGGAAAAGCAAATTGCATGGACCAAATGACACAGGTACATGGTTAGGTTTATTTTGTGAATAGTAGGTTCTCCATTCACCTTTGCAATCTCTTTAACCCATGTTTATTTTACCCATTAGTCCATTTGTAATGGGATATGCTTATTTTACATTGATTGCATCATCTACTAGCTTGGCTCTCATTACTTTCTTTGAATCATACTGATGCAATATGGCTGCCAATATGATCTCCCAGAACTCCGCATGTTGGATAGACAGCTCAGCCATAGTGGAACCTATAACAGGGTGTTCTATGACCCATAACTGTTGTCCTAATACAACCTGCCTGGTAGAAATCACACTTGTGAACATGACCTCTGCTGGCTGAGGAAGACAAATCTGCTACCTCCACACTTTACTGCCAAAGGGCAAAGACAGATCTAATTGGACTAAAAAATACATTACTCAAAGACTTTAAGGCAGCGATTCCCAAAGTGTGGGCCGCGAGAGGTCATTTACAATAAATAAAACGTTTTTAATTTTCAATTTTGAAAAGAATATAAAAATATGTATGATGCGGCACATTAGTCATGTGAAACATTAATTGATGAAGCACAAACAATTTAAACGAACAGATTGGTTAATCGGTTGATCCATACTGGTTGTACATGGCGCTCAAGGCGCTCCAAACATGACAAAGCTCGTCTACGAAGGCGAGATGCTGAGCGGCGCTCAAGCGCGTGAGATATGGAGCTTGTTTCAGGACGCGTCGGAGAAACAAAGCTGTCGTTCTCTCCGAGGACTTCATGAGATTAAAGAGCGAGAGACGGTGCCCTTTTCTCTACAGTAGCTGAACCATCTTAACGGGGAAAATAAGTTATTCTAAAAGCAGCCCTTGGCAGGCGGCGTGGCTGGAGAGCAGCCGAAGATTTAAGGCATGTATGGCGAGGGGGGCGGCGGGAGCGGACGCACCTCGATCGGACCCTGAAAGCACCGTCTCCACCTCCCCATCCACCCGCCCCGACGCCAAACGTTTGACTGCAATGGCGGCAAATCACCAGCCGGTCTGCGAGCTGGACGCATTGGTCTTAATGTGCCGGTGACGATGGTTGAAGCTGGTTGTCATCTACGGTCCACTACGGTTACATAAAGGTGTCGTTTGTGTTTTGACAATGTTTTATCTCATAATTTCGACTTTCTATCCCCTTTCTTCAGTGCAGAAATGGGCTTCTATAGTTGTGTGAATGCATCGCTCCAGCCAATCCAAAGATGTAGATACCATGTGACTGGCTCCGCCCCCTTACTGTCTGAAAGAACAACAGCGAGCGCGTAGAAAACTCCTTTGAGCGCGAGCAGAGACTAACCTCGCGAACGAGGAAGTTCACGTCTCGCAAGTGAGCAAATACCTCGCTCGAGACGAACTTTTGCTCGCTCGAGATGGGCTTTTGCTGGCGGATGTTTGATTTACGCGCGCGCATCAACCTGATTTGCGCTCTCGAATTTTGACAGTGATTTGCGCTGATAGACTGCAGTATCTTATGCGCCTTATTGTGCGGAGAACACGTCACATGAGCTCCGGAGAAAATGGTATACAAAACATACATTGTCGGTTAATACATTTTTAATCGGTTAAATTCTTAAGGTCATTTAATTATCCCTAGTTATGTTTTGATCAGAGTTGTGATTAAAGGTTTCGGTGGGCCGCAAAAGATTTTCAGATTTCAAAGTGGGCCGCGGCATCATTGAGTTTGGGAACCGCTGCTTTAAGGCACCTACCCACTAAGTTTTGAGAACTGTGAAAAAAGAGGAAAAAAAAAAAAAAGAGGACGTGCATCTGAAGTTGTTAAAGTACTTTTGCATGGAGTAGTCCATCCAAAACCATATCATTAAGGTTCAAAGAAAAACATAC